GCCCTCCCCCTTGGGGGCAATCTCAAAATCAATTGAGATTGATTTTGATGTCTATAATAGCGCATACATTACCCCAATTCTTATCTTTGATATGGCTCAGCAAAGACCCGATAACGAAAATAAATGGTTTTCGCAAAATGACAGGGGATTAAAGAAAATTAAGAGTAAGGGTGGCCAGTGACTTACCAACTGGCGTTTCCAAAGAGCAGCTACAAGATATCAACAATATTCCATAATTGTTTCTTAACTAGCGGAGAGAAAAAAATACATCCCAACGCCAGCCACGTGGATCATGTTATCCGCTTTCTTCCGGGTGCCAACCGCAGCCACCAATTATTATTACTCTGTGGAACCACTACCGTACCCCTTTGCGTCATTAACGGGATTTTTTTTTTATCCAACAGCAAATCCCGATATAGAAAAGTCGCCGGAAAAGCAAAAAATGCTAGACAGAGGCACTGTGGGGATTGTAGTTTCGTCCTCTTTAAAAATTAACCAATCGCACGATCCCAAGAGATTTACGTAGCGCCTTGAATCCGGTCACGTGTTGTGGGGTCCGTCGGTCAGTTAGTCAGTCAGTCAGTCGCAGGGTCGGCTGGTTCCTGGTCGGCTGCAGTCCGCGTTCAGGGCTTGTCTCCGCCATGTCCGGACTCGGGTTGCTGTATTCGGGACTGGGGCTGAGCGCGGCCGCCGCCATCGCCGGCATCGGTTAGTGATTGGAGCGAGAAACTCTCAAGGTTGCTGTTGGGGAGGGGGAGGGGGCGCCCGCTCTCCTTACCAGATTTTTACTTCCTCTTTATGTCGGCGCGTGTGCGAGTTAGTGTGAGATCTCCGATCCGGGATCGGGGGCAACTAGAGAGCGGGCGTCGGAATGGCCAGGAGGAGAGGCTCACCTAGCATTCCACAAAATGCCCGAGTGAGGGAAAGCTATGGTTCTGCAGCGCGGGGTTTAGGTGGGTGGATATTATAGGCGAATGTAGCATCCTCTGGCTGAAAGGAATCTTGAAACCCCTGTACAGACCCGAAAATGATTTGGTTCTCTTTAACACTTTACCTTTTGTCGACAGGAAATATTTTATTAGGAAGATATACGTGCGCTTGCTTTTTTGCCTTTCCATCTCATGCCATTCTCCACATTTTAGAAACGGCTGGGTTGAGATTGCAAAAATAGACACTTAAAAGATGTTTCCGTGTCTAATAATCCCGATTCGTTTCTAGTTAAGTGAGAAACAGCTTTCTTAGTGGCTTTGAGGTCTTGACTTTGAAATGATTCTGAATGAATACCTCTGGGTGCCAAAGAGTAATAGCAGAATGAAAGAAAAGCATTAAGAAACTTCTGAAATACAAGTTCAGTTCTTGTTGCTGCTTGATCAGTTTTGTGTTAGAACAAAATATTTCTAGAAGAGAATAACCATGGATAAGATGATTAATGGAAAAGCATTTAACTGCTTCGTCCTAGTTACCTTTGGTATAAATAAAATTAATATGGAATGTTCACTAGCAGTGTAAGTATTGTTTACATATAAACAAGGATGGTTGGTTTTAATCTTTTGGTTGAGATAAGGCACAAAGATATATGTTCAGGGAGGGTTGCAGCTTGTATTTCAGATAAAAATATATCCATGTATTTATCCTATATAATATTCAGGCTATAAATCATATTCTAATTAGATATTATTTCTAATTAAATAACATTTCCATTTATACCTTCCATGTAGCAACTCTCTGAGCTTTGCTGTACTCTACTTTTAAGGATAGATCCTATATGCCACATTACATTTTAGCTGATACAAGATTTTTTTTCTTTTTTTGACTATGTATATAATCAAATTGTTTTCTTTGTATCTATAATGAGAAAACTCATGCTGTCATATTTTATTTAAATTATTAATTTACTGCCCATCTCACAGATGTGACTCTGGAGAATTCACATTAAAAACATTAGAAAGGACAATATCAACTAAACATTTTGCTTTCAGAGCAAGAGTTGTAATGTCATGAAACTGATATAGATTATTTTCTGATCTACTAGACTTGCTAGATTTAATGGTAGATTGGAACCAGTAGAATTAGCACAAGTAAAACAATCCAAAAGTGGCAGTTGTCCAAAACAATTTTTAAAAAATATTGTACTCATATGTATCTTCTTAGATAACCCACAGTCTCAGTTGTGTGGAGGTCCACATGCAATGGGTAGCTGCTGCACTGCTGAATCCTAAGAAATTTTTCAGAAATTTTTCTATTTAATGAAACATAATGTTCAGTTAGTCACTTTGCAAGTAGTTTTCTGGCATATGTGTAGCTTGCTTTGAATTTATTGCCAAACTTTGATTTTTGATCATTGCCATCAAAATGAGCTCTACACAAATGATTCTCAGTAAGGTCCACTCCTGTGATTGAACATTGAAATCTATCTGGTGGTTGATCTCAGCTCCCTGTCTTCATGATTAGAGCCTGCTCACCATCTCAGCACCACATCTCCATCTGCCAGACCCTGTTTATATCATCCCTATCTTCCTGTATGCTACAGCAGTCAGCTAGCAGAAGCCCATTCATCGTCTCAGCCTTAACTTCTCATATGCTCAAAATCTGATTCACAAAAATACATTAGTAGTTAAAAACTAGTTCATTGAAGTGTACATGTTATAAATAAGCAACATGAGAACTAAAATTCATAAAATTGAAAGGTCTCAATAGCAGTTACTGTGAGTCTACATGTGTTATGCTGGACAGAACTATTATGTGCTATTAGCAATGCAAAAACAAAAGTATGATTAGGAAATACAATAGCTTTTTATTAGGCTGGAGAGATTGCTGCTTGCCACCAATGCTTTAGTATTCAAAGATTTGTATTAACGAACATTCTTAACAAGTTTGTGTTAAAAGTTATTTACTAGAACATTGGGTATCTGAAATAATTCAAATGGTAAATAAAATAGAGGCAATAGGAAGGCATATACAAATGCAACTGGAATCATTATCATATGCTCTCATTATGAAATAGACAAAATATAGGTGGAGAATGCTTGTATAATTGAATAAGTCCTGCTTTTTAAACCTTTACTTTTTTGGGGGGGGGAAAGCCCTCCTCTTTTGAGTTGTGCCAGATTCAGAATGAAGAACTTTTAAGTATTTTGCCCTTGCCAGAGAAATCTCTGGCATGTCTCCAGGCTTTATCTTAAGCCTTAACTTCCACACTTCTGCAGGTGATTATCAAACACATTATTGGAAAGCAACTATGTAACTGAATGGTATATATCAGTGATGGCGAATCTTTTAGAGACCAAGTGCCCAAACTGCAACCCCAAACCCACTTATGTATCACCAGGTGCCAGGTGGGTGTGGCCCACTCGGCGGGTGCAGCTACAGTGGGCTTGGCAGACTGGGTGGGCGTGGCTACTGGATGAGTGTGGTTGCAGTAGTCATGGCCGATTGGGTGGGCATGGCTGGGGTGGGTGTGGCCACCTTGATGTTGCTTATGGGGAGGGACACCTGTGGGAGCCGGGCAGGGTTGGGGGAGATCCAGGGGGTCTCTGGCGGGTGGGATGGTGGGCTCCCCAAAGGCGGCTCCAGGCTGGCTGGCCTTAGGACAGTGATGGTGGACTTTTAGAGACCACATGTGCTGGGGCGATGGCGCGTGCCCACAGAGAGGGCTCTGCGTGCCGCCTCTGGCACGCGTGCCATAGGAATCATAATGAGAGCATATGATAATGATTCCACTGGTATATATGTTCTGCTATGTACCTCTGATTTCTTAGGATCTATTAATAGCACTGCTAGATGATCAGAAGCCTCTATTTGTATCACTACCGTAATCCTATGCAAAGTGTTCATAGTAAACTTCATTTAGTTTGTTTTGTCAACAGTCTTTGAAGCAACTCACCTAGTAAGAATGATGAGCCTACAGTGAACCTGGGAACTTCAACTGCATTAGTTTGGCTGATGTGGTTCAGACTTGTTCAGTCAGGAATGATAAACAACAAACTCAAGTCTGACCTTCTAACTCAGGGGTAGTCAACCTTGGCTCTTTTATGACTCGTGGACTTCAACTCCCAGAATTCCTGAGCCAGCATAGCTGACTCAACTCTGTATTCCTTTAAGGTCATTTTACCAAGTGGGCACAACTTATTTGGAAAATCAGAATTTCTTACTGGTTTTTGCTGGGAACATCCCCCACACTTAATATCCTATTCTGCTTAACCTTGCTCCATTTCTGTCCTTGTAGATGTTTGCAGCCGAGATTTCCTCTCCTGCATGCCTTTCTATGGCTTCTTAGCGGGCAAGGGAAATTCTTAGTTCTGCTTTCTCATCTGGATGATTTGGGTGATTTAGGAATAATAATTTTTAGTATGATTAACACTTCATAACAAAAGGGGAAGTTAGCTTCTTCCTTTTTCAGTTAAACTTGTATCTTATAGTGGCTTCCTGTCTTCTTTCCAGTGAATCTTGAATTAATCATAATTCTGAAATTGTTTTAGAAAATCCATGCCCCTGAGCGGAATCCTGTTCACTAAACTGGATAAGGATAGTCATAAAGTGGTCAATTAAATTCTGTTCTTTATTTGAGAAAGTGAATTTAGATAAAGTCTTTATCTTATTTTATTAAGCTTCTCTGGGAGTTAGAAAGGCTTATATAACTACTCAGAGATTATTTACATTTTAGACAAAATATGGCCAAATAATTGTGTTGCGTTCAAAGAAATGATAGTTAAGCAAAAAAAAATGTGAACCATGAGTGTGTATTAAATATGTGAAGATTGGGCTTTGGAGTAGAATTCTGTCTTGCTAGTTTAGTGATATGATAGAGAGAATGCAAAAATCTTACAAAAGAACTTCAAAGAAATATTGATACTTCCATTGTTAGTCTACTGGTGTAGACTGTTGCAAATTTGGAAAATAATGCATAATACAGATTAGATGTTATACTGTAAATACATCTGATCAGGAAGATTAGACTGAAAAAAAATACTTGTTTCAGAAACTAGATATTGTCAGTTTTTTGGTTAAAGAGAAATTTAATTCAAGGCTCTTTTGTCCAAACCCACTAGCAGTTTTTAGTTTGAAAGTTCCAGGACCTTTCATGGTAGTTCAGGTGTATAGGTACCTGATTGCTAATGATGTTTAATAATTTAAATCTGATAATTGAAAGAGAAGGCTTTAGCATAATATGTGATAGGGCTGGTCATTTCTTAAACTGCTGACAACATAAACAGGTA